GGCTTTGGTTCAACTCAAGCAAGAGTGAGTGACTGTGGGTTTCAGGATCCCTGGTTCTGGTCTGGGGTTCTGCGGCCCCCTGGTTCTGGGGACTCTCCTCCTTTAATGCTAATGGGATTGCACTTTCGCAGAGTCAAACTGGTGTACAGTTTAGGGGTTGTCTTAGATTCTTAGTTCTTGTTGTAAGAGTAGGTGGCAGCCACAGTCAGAACATTTACACAGATCCTGCTTGTGTGCCAACCGTGCCAGTTCTTAGAGCAAAAGGGCATGCTCACAGTCACTCATGCCCTGGTCATCTCCTGTTTGGACTATTCCAATGCACTTTACATGGGGTTGCCCCTGAAAACCATCTGGAAGTTGCAAACTGGTTCAGTATGCAATAGCGTAAGTAGTTACATGTGCACCTTGGTACACCCATGTAACACTATGAGCTGCACTGGCACCCTGTAGGCTTCTGGGTGCAATTTAAATTATTGGTTATTACCTATAAAGCTCTTCATGGCACAAGACAGAGTTATCTGTGGGACCACCTGTCTCCCATTGTCTCTACTTGTCCCATGAGATCTGAGAGGGTGAGCAAGCTTCAGGTCCCTTCTATGGAATAATGTCACCTGTGGAACCCAGGAATTGTGCTTTCTCTGTCTCAAGGCCTTTCCCAAGGTTCAGATGCCCTGACCCTGCTGACCTTCCACAGGACCTTGAGACCTGGTTTTTCTCTCCAGCTTTGGGCCAGAGTGCAAGATGAACCTGCCAAGAATAGTTTCTGAATGGTTTCTATAAAGGTTGGTCTTGGTTATTTTGTTATCCTTTTATTTTCTTACTCTATTATTCTATTTCCTGTTCCAAGTGTTCATTGTGTTTTATTTTTAGTTTGTTTGTTTTTTATGGTTCTATCCATCTGTAAGTCACCCAGAGTCATTTTCACAAGGTGGGCAGCCGCATAAATCAATTAAACATTATTTTCCAAAGGAGGTTTAAACAAATAGAGCTGCCAAATGATTAAAAAATGCCTATTGTCTCCCAGCAACAGCTAAATCCCCAAAAATCTACAGGTTGTATCTATAGAGAACCCCAAGGACTCCAAAGTTGTATCTTCTCTTTAGCCAAAAACAGCATGTGTCACTCCATGCTTTCACATGGTATCCTTACTCTGAAACTGAACATGCCAAATTTTTCAGGAGTGCCACACATTGACATTCTTGGCATTTTCTCATTCTGCAATTGGGAATGGTTG